AAAAAAAAAAAAATAGAAAAAATGGCCAGACATCATAGCAAGTGCCTGTATTACCGGCTACCTGGAGGCTGAGGCAGGAGGATTGCTTGAGCCCAGGAGGTTGAGGTTGCAATGAGCTATGATGATACATGGCACTCTCCCCAGAGAAACTAGAGTGAGACTCTGTCAAAGAAAAAGACTTTGCTCACTGCCTCCTGTGGCATCCTTTAACTTCTTCCACTTCCTTGTTCTCTGTATTTCCCAAATTGGTATTTAGATATGGAAACTTACCAAGTTCAGCTCACATTTTGACAATAGCACATCATGTTGGGCAGCTGTCACACTCTGAAGGGTTGGCAGCTCTGGGTCATCATTGCTTAGGTCATGTGTTTTGATAGTGGTTATAAATTCTCTTATTCCTTCCTAGTTGAAATGTATTTGTTGAGAGAAAATTCTTCCAAGTATCTCTTTGGGATCCGGGGCTAGGTCTGTGTTTTTTCCTGCTCACCTGATGTCTCCCTTTGTCTTTCAGGTCTTGTGTAAATGGCACCCTTGTGTGCAGTACCACCCAGCTGTGGCACGGCGATAGAATCCTGTGGGGAAATAACCACTTTTTTAGGTAATGTCTTTGTATTCTCTAATATTTTCATAGACATTTTCTTCCGTTATCTTTTAAAGTTGTAAATCAATTTGGTTTTGTCTGATGGTGAAACACTCCACAGAATTAATCTACCTAAGAGGAAACGTCGAGATTGGTTGAAGGACTTTGAAAAGGAAACGGGTCCCCCAGAACATGATCTGGACGCAGCCAGCGAGGCTTCCTCTGAACCAGACTATAACTATGAATTTGCACAGATGGAAGTTATCATGAAAACACTGAATAGTAATGGTAAGACCCTAACTCCGTATTCCAGCATCTCAGGCAGTTCTTGATCTCCCACCACCAGTGAGGGATAAAGTGTCATTCTGCATTTTAGATGCACAAAATTGCATCTTTCAGAAGATTGTCTTTCAGAGAACCATCAGAAAAAAGCTGATGAAGAGATTTGGGTGGGAGGTGGTCTTCTCCCTTAGGTATGGTGAGGAAATGAGTGTTTGTTTTTTTGAGACCCTTTGTTCCTGAGCCAGTTGGGGTAACATTTCCGTGATGCTGGAGTAATGAATGATCTTCAGCAGAATTCCTTATCAGGTTTCTCAATATTGAACCTAGCATTTCTGAATTCTTGAGAGATTGAAAATTCCCAAGAGAGTGTGAATCCAGAAATTTCAAATAGAATTTAATGGAAAGATTAACAGTCACAACATTTCACTATAAACTCTGTTGGAAATTATACCCTCAAGGAGACTTATTTAATAAGCCCAGCTAACTTTTACAAAACATAATCGTGCAAATGAAATGCTTTATAGGCTCTTTGGTTGACTTGTGCTCCAGGTTGTCTCAGATCTCGAAAGATGAAATTCTTCTGAACACGTTATTTCTAGATCCCTCTTTCCAGAAGGTTTGCAGTGTTTATATTAACGTTTTTCCTTTCTTTTCTTTCTTTTTCTGTGCTTATACACATCTTCATGCATTCAGTAAACTACGTGCCAGATTCTTTCCTTGCTTGCTATTTTACAGATCTGCCCCATTCTTTTCCCATTCTCTAGTCTTCTGTTTCTAGATGTGGTACCTGGGACTAAGCAGCCAAACCTGAAATTTCTTGTTAGCAGGCACAAGACAGCATTTCTAGGACTAGAACTATTTAACAAGTTGGGGCACCTGAGAAAGTTTGTAGGCCCAGGCCAACCTCACCTTCCCCCTCATCTGCTCTCGGGTGACCTCAGCCTCCCTAACTTGAACCAGGGAAGACCTTGAGGACGCAACAACATGTGGTCTCCACCTTACACAGTTGAACTCTCCCCGTTATCATTGGCTTTCTCGTTTTCCTCTCAGAATTAACCTCTCTGGGAAGAATTTCACCTTTGAGGGGGGATTTTGGTATATTTGCTGCCAGAGTGAGCACCTGGTGAGGGAATTATCAGTCAGATCTCTGTCATATGAAATTGGGGATTCTGTTGCAGGAATAAAGATTTTGGCCTTTTCATTGGTCTCTACTCCTGAATTTTTAGTCTTAGGGACCTCTAATTTTTAAGTAACAAAAATGAAATATAAAGAAAAGACAAGGCTCAGCACCTGTGATTTAAGCGGCTAGGGTGCCAGCCATATACACAAGAGCTGGCAGGTTCGAATCCAGCCCAGGCCTGCCAAACAACAATGACGGCTGCAACCAAAAAATAGCCGGGTGTTGTGGTGGGCGCCTGTAGTCCCAGCTACTTGGGAGGCTAAGGCAAGAGAATCACTTAAGCCCGAGAGTTGGAGGTTGCTGTGAGTTGTGATGCTACAGCACTCTACCCAGGGCAACAGCTTGAGACTCTGTCTAAAAAGAAAAAAGAAAGAAAAGCCAAGACTATGAAAAACAAGTATAACATATTTCTTTCAAGAGGATAGAACCACCAACAAAAAGGAGAAAAAATAACTTTTGACAGAAGCTTGGTAATTTCTCTTTAAACAGCACTAGTCAGATATTACAGTTAGCCACAGGGGGTTTTAACACTGCAGCGTGGGTGAACCACAACTAGAAATCTAGCTTCAGTCCAGTCTGCCACTGGCCCACCAGTTGGGAGGAATCCCAAGACATTCCAAAGTGATATTCAGACATCAGAATCACATTACTGGATCATTTCACAACATGCCTGAGCAACAAGTCTCCTGTGAGTGATCTTTGGAGGCCTGAGTGAATACATGTTGTGGCAGGGTGTGGCAGTAGGGTGTACCCTCCAAATTGCAGGTGGAGAAATGCCCATTTAGAGAGAGCTCATTTCTTCAGATTAGGTTACAGAATTCTAGATATCTCTGCCTTGTAACTCTGCAGAATTTTAGAGTTAATCATTTATCCATTCCAAACCACAAATTTATGATCTTACACAATTGCTACATTCTTAAATATAAATTAACTTCCTGAAAACTCATGGGTATTTATTTAATGAGCATTTGTTAATTCCACCCATCCTCTTACCCAAACCAATTGGAGTCATTAGTGGCCTGGAGCATGATGTTAACATGAGTCAATTCATTTGTATCCCAGATCAGGCCTTGTTCTCTAGTGTTGGTTGTGTCTATATGAAAGTAATGTTTCCTGGTCCCCACCCCTTCCCACCTCCAGCAGAGCTTCCCCTGAGGCCCACAAACATGGTCTAATGCTAGTGTTGACCTCTGCTGCTAGGTGGCTTCCCGATAATAAGCCTGTCTGCCTGGTGGTCGTCCCCTTGGTGGTCTTACTTGAAGATCCTCTTCCCTCTCCTGTGGTTTCAGACGAAGCTACTCCACAAACACTGGGATAAAGGTTTTTTACTGATTGGCATTAGCATGAGGTGGCTTGACGGGTTTGGAGCAGTGCTGCTGACCAATGCTTGTGCTACATGCTTTGGCCAAACCTGACTAACATGACTGGGAGGAAGCCGAGGTTTTCTGCCTGAGGAACGTGCTCTGAACTCCTGATTGAGGAAGGTCCCTTTTGAATTTTGACCCGCCCCCCCCCCCTTTTTATTGCCTTCCCAATGGTTAAAATCTGACAGTGCTGCTTTTCCTTCTACTTCTAAAAGCACTGAAAAATATCGTTGGTATTCTTACCACTGCTATTGATGGCTTTATTACTGTTTACAGAGCAGTTCAGGACAGCAGTACTTTCAGATATATATTCACCTCCATTATCCAAGTAATAGACCAGAACAATGTGGTTTTGAGTCTGTAGAGTTAAATGCTGGTCTGAAACCCAATTCATTTGAATTAAAAGTAAAATGAAACCTATTATGTGTGGACAATAATACCTTCTTCCCAAGAGTTCAGAATAGGAATCAGACATTCATCTCTTTTCCCAATGTCAATGGTAGCTCTACAGTAAAGACTAATTAAGGGGCTAGTAAAGGGTCTTGGGGCTAGTTTATTCCTTGTGGGAGCAAAAGGTTCTTTTTTCCCTAAGGATCTACTTCTCCTCAATTCAGTGCTTTGCACATTTTGGTGTGAATTAGTTCTAATTTCTCTTTCTCACATAAATATCCTCCTGTCAATCACCACTACAAGTGTCACTCTCACCTCCATCCTCTCTTTCCCATTCTAGGGACACTAGGTCATTTTGAGCTCATTTCATAGTTACCTACCGAGTAAGAAAAACTAATAAAGAAGAGAAAGTGCTATGCCCAGCGTGACTGTGGTCCCTTCTTTCTTCCTAAAGTACATATCTTTTGATGCCTTGTCCTTAGGCACCTGATTCACTGAGATTTAAGACAGTTTCTTCAAGAGAGGGGAAAGTGATCAGAAAAAAATAAAACTGGATCGTCTCCTAATATTTGAGAATAGGCCGAATAATCTGGCTTCTGTCCTGGGCTCCATCATTGAGTCAGGTCGACTTGCCAATTTGGATAACCTATTTTAAAATATGCTCTGTGTATCGGTCAAGGCTTGAAACTAGTGAGTTGATTTGAAAAGAAAATGTTATCAAAGGTGGCTCACACCTGTCATCCCAGCACTTTGGCGGGTAAGAGGTGCAAGGATCGCTTGAGGCCAGGAGTTTGAGAGCATCCCGGGCAACATAGCAAGACCCCATCTCTACAAAACATTAAAAAATTAGTTGGACCTGTTGGTAAGCACCTGTATTCCCAGCCACTTGGGAGGCTGCACCCAGGAATTCCAGTTTTATAATGAGCTATGATTGTGCCACTGCACTTTAGTACGGGCAACAGAGCACAACCCTATCTCTGGGAAAAAAAAGAAAAAAGATAAAAAGATGTCCATGAGGACAGTGTTTCAAGACTGGTGCTGACATCCAGGTGAAACAAAAATTCAGTCCAGGCTTCCACCAGAGCTACGTGTAACAAGGGCAGATCTAGAGTCTGTAGGGGCCCAGCCAGCTGTGCAGTGGGAGGTTCGGGGAAGGAAGCTTGACTTGCTTTCCCTTCCATTTCTGCACTTGGACTTGTGGCCACTTACTATGTCTGGTAGGTGTTGGCAGCACTGTGTGTGGCAGCTGCTGGCACAGTTTAAACAGCCTCGGGCACACGGCCTCTGCATTGGCATGGAACCCCGGGATGAGAGCCTCTTGGCCTCAGCCACTGGGGACCATGTGTATTTCTATACCACTAACAAGCAGAAAGGGAAATGTGGGTTAAATATTATATTCAGTGTCTCTTAGAAAAATCCCTATAATGCAGTTCTATTAAATGGTATGCTTTCCATTTTCTCTAGAAAAGATTCATAAACATGAAGTTTAGATAGTTAAGACCCTTGAAAATAAGGCTCTAGCTCAGTACTAAATGGGTGGCGCACACCCTGTCCTTTCCCCTTTTACCCAGAGCTTAACCCTGCGTAAGACATATATTTTTTTAATTCTGAGAAACCTTTTCTTCTCTAGAGCGTTAGACTTCTCTCAGAAGAGTTTATCCTATTTCTCCTATTTTCCTCAGAAGTGGTCGAGCTACGTCAGAGGTTCGGATGTAGTAGAATACGTAAATGTATGGAGAGTGTTTGGCCCACCCAAGATCTGCCTTTGTGTAAAAAGATTTTTATTCATTTTTATATTGGGTTTTCTTTTCTTTTTTTTTTTTTGAGACATTGTCACTTTGTCACCCAGGGTAAAGTTCTGTGACGTCATACTCACAGCAACCTCAAACTTCTGGGCTCAAGTGATTGATCCTCTTGCCTCATCCTCCCAAGTAGTTAGGAATACGGGCACCGGCAACAATGCCTGGCTATTTTTAGAGACGGGATCTCACTCTTGCTCAGATTGGTCTCAAACTCCTGAGCTCAAGCAATCCACCTGCCTTGGCCTCCCAGAGTGCTGGGATTACAAGCATGAGCACCGTGCCTGGCATTCTGTCAGCTTTCTAAGTGAAAGAATATTTTAGGGACTCTGCACCAGATTCCATGAAGAACACTATTCTGCTTCTTTGAAAATATGCTGAATTTTCAAATTTTATATCCCAACAAAAAAATGCCCTGGTCCAGATGGCTTCACACCAGTATTCTATCAAACCTTTAAAGAAGAGCTTATTCCCATACTGCAGAAACTATTCCAAAAAAATTGAGGAGGAAGGAATCTTTCTCTAACACATTCTATGAAGCAAATATTGCCCTGATACCAAAACCAGGAAAAGACCCCACTAAAAAGGAGAACTTCAGATCAGTTTCATTAATGACTATAGATGCAAAAATTCTCAATGAAATCCTAGCCAATCGGCTTGGCACCTGTGGCTCAAGTGGCTAAGGCACCAACCACGTACACCCAAGGTGATGGGTTCAAATCCAGCCCGGGCCTGCCAAACAATGACGGCTGCAAACAAAAAATTGCCGGGTGTTGTGGTGGGTGCCTGTAGTCCCAGCTACTTGGGAGGCTGAGGCAGGAGACTCGCTTGAGCCCAGGAGCTGGAGGTTGCTGTGAGCTGTGATGCCACAGCACTCTACCCAGGGGGACAGCTTGAGGCTC